CTTAGGTACAAAAGCTGTCCGGTGACTTGGGGCCAAATACCAGGAGACGGTGAGTTCTAGTCCCATTTCAGGCATGAAAGCCAGCTGCTTCACAGCTGCCAGTTCTTTAACTGATGTTCCCCTTCAATACTCTGCACTGAATTTTCCCCGAGAATCTAGGATATTGATATTATTATTATTATTATTATTATTATTATTATTATTATTATTAGGCGTGCCATACCCCTGAATGACAAAGGGTGGCTTGATAAAGATTGTGCAACGTTGAGTCACCTGGAAGGCATAATTTATGTCAAAATCATCTGTTTGATCCTTCAGGACTCTCCAAGCAAACATAAGAATCACTGACACAACTTCCTCCTCTCCTCCTGTCTCCTCTTCCTCTTCCTCCTCCTTCCTTTTGTCCTTTTCCTCCTTCACTTTCTCCATCTCCTTCTCCTCCCTCTCCTTTTGACTCCTCTTCCTCCTCCTCCTTTTCCTTCTCCTCTTCCTTCTGTCTTCCCTTCCTCCTGTCTCCTCCTCCTCCTCCTCCTCCTCTTCAAACCCCAAACATGAATCTCCTAGCTAGCCTTTTGGCCAAAAAAGAAAGGAAGAAATGTTTTTGTTTGTTTCTTCAAAATGTCAGATGTTGAAAAGGCTATGAAATCCATCATGGTCTATTTGTTTGTTTCTTCTCAGAGGCCACAAGCTTGGCTTTGATCTAAGGAAGGAAACATGTGTAAGGGAAGGGAAGGGACGGGACGGGATCAATTGCAGGGACTCATTGCTTGAGGTAAGTCCAAATGCGGACAATGCAAACAGCCAGGACGTTAAATAATATTTATGGAATTTGCAAAAGAGGGGATGAAAGAGGTTACTCAACTTCCAAATTGGCCTTTGGATTGTGTTACCCAAAGAAGGGATAGAGCGGTATTGGGAGAATGCACAACTCAGCATCCACGTGTCTGCCTGACAGGCAACTTCAAAACACACCCTCCCTATGGAATTGTCGACAGCTTCAATAGCTTCCAAGGAAACATGTTTTATTTCAAGAAGTGGAGAAGCAAGCAACTTGCAAGAGAGACACCCAGGGAAGTGGAGGCGGACGCTCTGCCTAACTAAGTTTGCTCCGACTGATGGAAGTGGCTTGGACAGCGATAGCAATAATGCTTAGATTTATATACTGCTTCACAGTGCTTTCCAGCCTTCTCTAAGTGGCTTACGGAGCCAGCCTCTTGCCCCCAACAAACTGGGTCTACATTTTACTGACCTCGGAAGGATGGAAATCTGAGTAAACCTTGAGCCACTCAGGATTGAACTGTTGGCCAGGGGCAGAGTTTGTATCCATTGCTGCATTCTAACCACTGCACTACCATGGCAAGGAAGAAAGGAAGGATGGATGGAATGAAAGAAGGATGGAAGGAAGGAGAAAAGAGGGGGGAGAGAAAGGAGGAAGGGATGGAGGAAGGAAGGAAGCAATAGCACTTAGACTTATATATTGCTTCACAGTGCTTTACAGCCCTTTCAAAGCAGTTTACAGAATCAGCCTATTGCCCACAACAATCTGGGTCCTCATTTTACCAACCTCAGAAGGACAGAAGGCTGAGTCAACCTCGGTCAAGATCGAACTCCTGGCAAGTGGGCAGTTGTGTTAGCCTGCAGTACCGCATTCTCACCACTGCACCACCATGGCTCATGAGGATGAGCAACGAAAGGTCTCAGATTAACCAAGTTTGGTCCAGTTACCACGATTCAACCTTTGGACACCTTTGGACACCTTGGATGATTGAATCTTCATTGACACAACCTCCCTCCATCCCTGTCTTCCCATGGCTTACTTGTATAATCCATCCGGCTCCAAGCATTTGAAAATGACAGAATAAAGGCTGGCATCTTGGCCATCCCTGTGAGTCCTCCCGGCAGCAACGCAAGCGGTTCCAAGTCCGGACAGTAAATCATCGGCGAAGCTCAAAGATTCTCCTGTAGATCCAAAAAAAATTGAGAAATGAGACATGCCATTCAATTTATTTATTCGGACAGAGGTATTTAACATTGCATTTAGAATTTGTTGTGGTTAGCTGGCAGCAGGTGAGGATGGCTGAGGAGAGCTCAGGTGAGGGGCCAGGACCATTAGGGAGTGGACTGCTGCCTTCGGAGATTGTGGGGACTGGCAGCAATGAGGAGGAGGTTCCTGAGGAGCCTGTGCCAAATGCGCATGTACGCAGGATTGCTCACAGGAAAGAGCAGCTGCCGCAGCACGGGCGACTTGGGAGTAAGGCTGCAAGGTAATGGCCCCTCCTTCAAGAAGATAAAAGCCAGCTGTGAAGTGAACGTTCTTTGCAGGAAGCAAAGACGTTTTGAAACTCAGCCTCGTGGACATTACAGTTACTTAAGTTGGTATTTGAAGACTCTTTTGTGTTTTGAAATATTTCTTATCTGTGATTCTTAACAGTCCTGTACAGTTTTGGCAAGGTCTGTGCTTATCAAAGTTAATTAGTTTGTAACAGCCTTTTAACCGGGGATTTGTAAGACTCATTAAAAAGTTTCTGTTCCCTTTGGTTATCGTTTGCCTTATTGGAAAAGGGTTTGGGTCAGAACAGGAATTACAAAATTGAAGAAGGTGAAGAAGGCATTTCTCCTATGGAGTCCTTGGTGCCCCCTGAGCTTAGCCATTTGCTTGCAGATGCTTCATTACCCAACTAGGTAATTAGTTTTAGTTAGTTTACTTTATTGTCTTTGCACCTCGCGCAACGAAATCAAACTCCATCTTCAGTGCATATCGTGACCGCGAAAATAACCACAAACACACACATCCTTCACACTCCACACGTTGAATTGAAAACCCCCAACGCCGCACCAACAACTAAGGATTCCATTGGCTTTTGTGTGGGGTGGGCTCGCCTGCCCAGCTGGATCTGTTGGTGTTGAGGAAACGGCGGGTTTTCGTGGAAGGAAAGAGAAGAAACTATTCGCTTTTAGAATGTTTGGATGCTGGAAGAAAATAAACAAAGAAATAGCAGTAATAAATGAGGCTCTTAGAAAGAAGACAAAAGAAGGAAGGTGATATCCATTCTGTGCATCATTCCAGCCAGATAAAAATGACTTTCTTTCAATGATCCCTTTCTCTCTCAAACTGTTTTTAATTTATAAAGCCATAGATGTCTCCGGGTGATTTCAGCACCATCTGGGGGTTACAAAGGAAGCCAGAGAGGTTGGTTGGATAGGTGGGGGTGAGGAGAGCAGCAAAGGAAGATGAGAAATCAATCTCCTTTCCCCATTTCCCCCTCCGCCCTGCAAAAAAAAAAAAAAACCCAACGAAACAGCCCCTGTTTTATCTCGTTTGGTTTTATCTTTGAAGGAAGACCGGCTCCCACTCAAAACAACAGCAACATCTCTTCTGGCTAAACAAAAGGGAAACGAAGGAGTCTGCAATGGCTTGCACGGATAAATAAATATATAGTCTTGGATCTGGCACAGACAGCCATGATCAAACCCCAGCTCCCCCCAGCCCCCTGCATGGAGCCATAATGGAGAACGGGCTCCTGTACCTGTACCTTGTCGCTCTTCCTTTTCAAGAAAGGAGAACAGGAGTAGAGTGTCAAGAGGCACCCCCCCCCAAATATCAGAAAGAAAGAAAGAAAGAAAGAAAGAAAGAAAGAAAGAAAGAAAGAAGAGGGAGAGAGAGAGAGAGGGAAGAAAAAGAAGTGAAAGAAGGCAGGCAGGCAGGCAGGAAGATAGGAAGGAAGAAAGGAATGTAGGCAGACACAAAGGAAAGAGAGATAGAAGACAATCTTTTGTCTCAGGAAGGAAGGAAGGAAGGAAGGAAGGAAGGAAGGAAGGAAGGAAGGAAGGAAGGAAGGAAGGAAGGAAGGAAAGAGAGTGAGAGATAGAAGACAATCTTTTGTCTCAAGCAGGCAGGCAGGCAGGCAGGCAGGCAGGCAGGCAGGCAGGAAGGTAGGAAGG